TTGTGAACTTTAAGACGTGTTATAATGTGTTACCGCGTCAAAAACAGACCAGGAGTTGTGTTTTGTTTCATTCACACATGTTTGAATAATCCTGCTTTATTATTTATTTATTACTTTCTAAATCTCCAAAGCTCAAAATGCTCTATTCCTCCTTGTGTTAGTTAGTTTTACCTTTAGTTGAGTAAAAATTGGCAATTCCAGAGGCTGAAATTATCCAAATGATTCTAGTGAAGGTGTATGGAGTCTAAAAACACTAAAAAAGTCTAAAAGTACTTCCTGCAAGGTGGATTTTTTTTCAGTTTGAAAGAAGAACTCAGCCTAAATATGCAGGATTTATGTGTTAAACATGTGTGAGTGAAACAAAACACAACCCAAAGTCTGTTTGTGATGAGGAAACAACATTATAACACAGATCAGAAAATAGATCTACCTCCCAGGCCTATTTTTCTGTTTTTCTATCTTAATTCTTTTACCATTGCTCAACCGTCAAAAACAAAACACATGTGGCTTGAGTTTTGAGATGAGGCGAATTTACAAATGGGGGAATCCACTGTCCAGCCTCCTGTAGTAAAAATAAACAAAAGCCATGTGAGAATCGCCATCACACCACGTCATCCTTCTTATATAAGAGCGTTAATGGTAAAAGCTTACACATGTGGCCTCGAGTATTTCCACCGCTCATGTTGTTATGACTGGAAGTATTAAGATAGCTTCACGACTTCATGTTAAAATAATAGGGCTACTGCTTTGTAATAGTACTGATATGACATTAAGAAATGTGTAAGTTTTTGCAGCCGATGGTTTGTTTTGGCCGACTTTTAAAGGTCCTATATTACACATAATCAACTCTTGTGAGCTTTAAGTCATGTTATAATGCTGTTACCTCGTCAAAAACAGACCTGGAGTTGTGTTTTGTTTCATTTACACATGTTTGAGTCACAAATGATGATTAGTCTGTCTATTTCTTAAGCTCAAAATGCTCTAGTTCCACCTTGTGATGTCATGAAGCAGCTGTTTTCAAGTTAACATCTCTTTTTACCTTTAGTTCAGTAGAGATTGGCAAGCCAGGCTGGTGCCACGTAGTGCCTCCGCTCAATTTCATTTCCATTTCCCTCCAGCAACTAGGTCAGGAATCAAAATACAATAGACAGTTCACTCTGCCCCCCCCCCACACCACTTGAACAGGCCCTATGACGCAATTTTTAAAAGTTGTCATGGCCTATTTTACTTACTGGCTACGTTTTGGCAAATAATAACATGTCTGCATCTTGTATTTTGTTGATTTTTTAAAAGTATTTATATTTATATTTAAATAATTATGTGATGTATTTACATTAGCCGCTGAATTTTCGTCTGACAAGCTCGAGAGTCGACGCAAAGTTCTGTAGTGCAGTTAAGGACAGAAAAATGGCAAGTGTTAAAGTCCAAAAACGTGACAGAGAGTGCTTCAGAGAGTTTTCACTGAACAGTGGACGACCGATTATTTTTTTTGTTCAGTGTAAGGACCGTGCAGTTTGCCTGATAATGTAAAGAAAGTGTGGCAGTTTGCAAAGAATATAATCTGCGTCGTCACGGTCATACAATTCTGTTTTACGGCCCCCATCGCAGTCAGGGGCGATTAACGTGGCCCCCAGAGGAAAAACGTTTGGTGACTCATGTTCTAGTGTATCAACAATGTATGGAGTTTAAGAGTTTGAGAGAAGAACTCAGCCTAAATATGCAGGGTTTGTGCGTTAAACGTGTAAATGACAAAAAAAAACAAAAAAAAACACGCTGCTTCACAGATAAGAAAATTGCGTAATATGGGCCCTTTTTAAAATATAAATACAATATATCAACACAATAAACATAAATAATCACAGTACTTTTCAGAAAAACAAGTCTGAAAACTGCAATTCAATATTTCTCGACTATAGTTTAACCCTACACCCACTGGCCTATTGTATTTCTACGAGTTTCGTTTACATTGTCTGCTCATAACCTCAGGCTTAAACCGGCGTCTTCTCCGTTACAAATTTCTTCATTCATTCAGTTTCTTGCTCATTGTTTGGTTTGTAAACAGCCCCCGTCTCTCTCTCTCTCTCTCTGTCAGTTTGACCTCCATGCCAGACAAATGATGATAATTATTAGTAGCAGAGATAGTGGTTTGGTTTAATAGGCTCCGACCACAGAATCCCCCAATGGGTAATGACTGAAACCACATAGGTCTGAGCAGCGGTTTCTCTGCTTTTTCAACGAGCTCTGGCAATTAAAACGCAATGATTTTTGTATTAATATCAAATTTCTGTTAGTTTTGTGTTACCGGACCGGAGGGCGTAGTCAAGGCAAGGGGGGCAATTGTTGTCGAGGTGGCTGCCCTAAATATAAAATGCTGCGGGAAACACTAGGTCTGGGAGATCTGGCTAAAAACAATCTCTTTTTTTGGGATGTAACGATATCAAAATCCCTCGATATGATATTACAATCACAAAAATGACATTAAAATCACAAAAAAGACATTAAAATCTGAAAAAAAGACATTCAAATCACAAAAAAGACATTCAAATCACAAAAAAAGATATTAAAATCACAAAAACTACATTAAAATCACAAAAACGACATTAAAAATCACAAAAACAACATTAAAATCAGAAAAAATACATTACAATCACAAAAAAGACATTAAAGTCACAACAACAACATTAAAATCACAAAAAAAGACATTCAAATCAGAAAGAAATACATTACAATCACAAAAAAGACATTCAAATCACTAAAAAGACATTCAAATCACAGAAAAGATATTAAAATCACAAAAAAGATATTAAAATCACCATAACTATCCATTTAAGCGAAGAGACTTAAGTGATTCGATATATTGTGACGATCTCCGATATTATTGTGAGACTGTTGACGATACGATAACACGATATTTCAGTGTAGATGTTATTACTTTAGCCGAAATGTTCTGCAATTTGGCATTTAACTCCTTCGTATCCATGGAGACAAGCAGGCGAAGTCAGATCTGTGTAGAGGTGAGCACGGTCATCGCAAGAATGCATGTTTGAATGGAAAATATGCAACATTTTGAGAGTCACGTGCACATGATCTTGTTCGCAGAAGTCTAAACTAAAGAGTTGCAAGGTTTTAAACTGGGTAAAACCCCGTGAAGACAAGACACTGTTGCCGAAAAAATGTTCAGCCTTTGTGAATGAAAAGTGAAGTAGTGATTTTGATTTCGTTTCCATGTTTAATTCTGAGCCCTGTTTGAAAACCACACGCCGAGTCCTCGTCAGACCATTTGTTGTGAAAAGCAGATGGCAGCGAGTTAAAACTTTTCCTTTTTTTTTTTACCGCAGTGTCTGTTCTTGACCCGCTCATGTTCACGTTTCCATAACAACCATCACTGGACAAAAAGGAGTGAAAAACTGTGCTTTGAATCTGCAGCTCTAAAAATGTGTGCTAAATGTTGGAGCTAAGACTGGGTGCATAATGTTAAATTTAAAATGATGTCTTTATATTGATGATGAACTTTTCTCGTCAAGGGTCTATCACATGCTTCTCTCCATCGAGATACTGCCTGGAATGTTCCACAGTATGGCGTTACACTTATTTATCGCTATGGAAACAGCATGTGACATCATAGTACTTTGTTATAATGTTGTTTCCACATCACAAACAGACCTGGAGTTGTGTTTTGTTTCATTCACACATGTTTAACTCACAAACCCTGCAGATTTAGGTTCTATCTCAATGGGAAAACACTCTGTTCCACCTTGTGATGTCATGTGGTGATACAGGAAGTGTTTTTAAACTCCACACACCTTCATGAGAATCATTTGGATCATTTCAGCCCTGGATTTGCCAATTTCTGCTGAACTAAATGTAAAATGCAGCTGTACCAAAGATAAAAGATAAAACACTTCATGACATCACAAGGTGGAGCAGAGCATTTTGAGCCTTGGAACTGTAGACAGACTAATAATAAAGGATTACTCAAACATGTGTGAATGAAACAAAACACAACTCCAGCTGTGTTTATGATGATTTAAGAGCATTCTACCTTGTCTTAAAAGTGCACAAGAGTCAGTTTTGCGTAGTATTTTAACTGTTTATTTATTTAAAAGGGGCAATGCATATTCATGAACATATACTTGTAAATATGCCAGAATTAGCCCGGAGGCTGCTTTACATCTGTAGCCCCCAGCAGGTCAGAGAGATAATGACAATTCACAGGACAAACATGGTAGAAACAGCACAATAAGGCCCCATCCACACTAGTACGGAATCGAGTCGTTTTCGTTGTGGATGCAGTGTTCGTCGACACTAATCCGACTGAAAACGGCTCCAGAGACGGAACGATATGGCAAAGTAGTTCACCGCCAAAACGCAAAGAGGCTAGAATATATGTCCATTCATATGTACGTGACCTGCAGACGTATAATCTCTGAAAAGTTTAATATGAACCATCTCCAACGCGATAGAAACACAGAACAGACTCACCATCAGCAGAACACCCCTCTGTCACAGAAAAAACACTCATAGTCCAGTGAGTCGTGTCCTTTAGTCCGACAGAAGCTGAACCGCATCAGGACACAAGGAGAGAGCTGTTTTTTGAGTGCTCAGTTTAAGCAAATTAGCCATGCGGTTTTAAGTTTCATTTCTGTAAAACGTAAACAAATATGAACGAAGCTATGTGGATAGGGAAAGCTTTCGGACACAGAAACGACGTGTCTTGACGCAAATCATTTCTGATACGGTGATTTGTTTCAGTATAAACATAGTATAAGACACAATCATGACATTACAACTTTGACATTTACATAAAAGCATAACATTAGTGATCACAGACCTGGTTTCTCTTAAAACATAATTTCAGTTTGGTTTTAATCTAAAAATGACAAACCTTCCATAGAGTCACATACACCTCTGCCCTCCATCTGAAATTATGACAACTATGATTCAGCCTATTATCTATTTTTACTCTAATCTCTTCTTTTTGTGTGTCTGTCTCGCCGCAGCTCACACTCCAGACAACAGCTTCCTGGGCTTCGTGGTGGAGCAGCATCTGAACGCCAGCGACATCAAGCACATCGACGACATCAAGAGACAGAACCAGTCGCTCGTCTACGGAAAAGTCGACAACTTCTGGAAGGTACGGAGGCCACGGAGGGACACATTTAGCTCATGTGCTTTTATTTTCTAATCAGAAATCATCCAATATGACCACAAACAGGGGAAGTAAATAGAATATATCTTTATTTTTATAACAGCAAGTGACTAAATAGACGTCCGGTAACCCCACTGTTATCTATGTCACTACTTCCTGTACAATTTTATCTCTATGTGGCTTTTACTGAGTCGTGCTAACATGAATAAATAATTAAAGATAAGAAAGGCAGTGAACAGTGTGGGTGGATGTCACTGACAACATGTTAAAAAGTACACAAATAAAATTACAACTTCAGCAAAGGACACTTGTATTATATGAGGGAAGTACCAATACTCATAACATCCTTAGTATTATTTGGAATATATTGATTTTTACATACATTGTTTTGTTGCAGTGGAGAGGGTACAAATAGATGAGGTGACTACATTGCCCATAATCCTTTGCAGGCATAATATTATGTTGCTACTGGGAAGGATCCATCGAAAAAATGAGCATCAAATCGCCATGTTTGATTTCCCAGTGGGATGCGTCTAGTGTCAAAACTGACCTTTTCAAGTCTTTTGAACCATATCGCTTTTGTTTCTGGTTCTGATATTGTCATATTTTAGTTATGGGATTCAGGCATCTTAATTATGTGGTTGTTGGACGTCCTAACAGCGGGAAACGGGCTTCGAAAGTTTGCGAACTCCATAAATGCAAAAGGGAACCTGTGTGACTGCAAACCTCCGTTCAAACTGTTTCTCTTCCCAACGGAATTGAAAAATGGTGAAAGGTGAAGGCGATGGGCAGGGTTGATACACAGGAAGGACGAAAAACTTAACCTTTGGCTGCCTAAGAAATCATTGACCAATCATTGAGTTGTATGTGGAGCGCCAACAAAGCAAAATCCCGATCCCTCGCTCCACCTTGGTTACGAATTTAAAAAGTCAACACCAAAGCGAAAGGCACCAACTGTTCGCCAAGAAAAACCTTCTACTGCAAAGAGACCAAGACGTGATGTTGCTGTAAAGTCAGTCGAACAAGAAAGTGCGAGCTCGGCCTGTTTGTCTTCTGCACCTCTCGATTAACAAACGGGATTTTGCTTTGTTGGCGCTCCACATAAAAAAATGTTCACTGCAAACTTGGGATGATTTCTTAGGCAGTCAAAGTTTACCTTTTTCGTCCTTCCTGTGTATCAATACTGCCCATCGCCTTTGTCTTACACTGTTTTTCTATTCCATTGGGAAGTTTGAATAGAGGTTTGCAGTCACACAGATCTGATTCCCTTTTGCAACTTCCGAAGCCCATTTTCTGCTGTTAGGACGTCCAACAACCACACAATTACCATGTCTGAATCCCATAACTAAAATATGACAATATCAGAACCAGAAACAAAAGCGATGGTTCAAAAGACTTGAAAAGATCGACTTTGACAATAGACGCATCCCACTGGGAAATCAAACATGGCGGTTTGATGCTCACTTTTTCGGAGGATCCTTCCCAGTATGCATTGCACCATGACCAGAAGTCCAAAATTCAGAATGGATAAACACATTTTAGTCTCAATCATTTAAAATATTACGGTACACTTTGTAACTGCGCTGCTGTGGAGGGGACATGATGATGTTTTTGCTTTGCCTGGTTACGGGTCAGGTCTGTGGAGAGGCAACCCCGCTCACTGAGTATTAGTTATTACGTTTAATGGAACAAAGGAAGCAAAAGTAAGACACTCCATGGAGACAGAGCTGATATCTTTAGCCAAATTTTTAACGTCTTCCAAGTTTTGCAATTGTCATCTTTGTCCTACATTTCGTAGATTGTGCTGAGGAATACAGATATTGTCTCATCTTTAAATCCATGAAGTCTTCCAAAATAATCCGAGTATCCGGGGTTAGCTAACAATGTGCAGATCTGTCCAAAGTCGGAGTTGTTTTTGTCTGGATCCTGTAATCCCTGTGCCTTTCCGCTGCAGTGTGGGCATACATTTGAATATATTAAAAGTGAGGAGAGAGAGGGCCATAAGCTGAATCTGAGCTGCTCAAGCACAGTCCGATTAAGTTTCTCTTTGAAACTTTTAGCAGTGTTCTTCAAAGAGTTTTGTGCCGCGCCGTGCTTTGGAAATGGGGTAGTTTTGCATGGTCGGTCAACCAAAGCCCTCCTTATCTGTGCAAGGAGAATGCGCCAGGAAATATCATAGAAGAGTCAGTTTGGGAGAAGAGTTTCAAGGTGCACTGCGTAACTTTTCTAGTGTGTGGTCTGTCACGTCCTGGCCTCCATGGAGATGTTGTGGCTTTTAACATAGACTGTATGAGGAAGTGATGCCCATAATGTTCAGCTCCAGTCAAATGAAGCTCATCGAGGTTGGAAGTTATGGAGCAAATTTGGAGTTCTATATTAGGAACTGGACAAAATAGCAAATTAAAAACACCAGAATCGTGTAGATCGTTAATACGAAGATTTAAAATTAAAACTAAAATGACGAGGCTCACAGCAGCAGATACACAATTTCTCTTTATAAAGTGAATTGGAGCTAGAGTCACTGGAGCCTGAAGCGCGTCCAGGCTCACTTCCTATTTGAATGCAGTCTTTACGTGGAATATAATGAAACAGAAAACGCACACCAAAGTTCTTGTAGAGGTTCAAGTGCAAGGAACAGCAAAATAAAGGTGAAAAAATGCATAGTGCACTTAAATGGTCGATGTCCAAAAGCTTTTAAAAAATTTTAAATAATGTTTTGGCAAAAAAAAAGCCTTCGTCAGATATTTTTCTTTCAGTAGGCTGTGGTCCAAAGCAAGGAAAATATCTGACGATTTTTTGCCGAAACCTTATTTAAAAATAAAAAAGCTTTTGGACAGCGGCCGTTTGAGTGTGCTATGAATTTTTTCACTTTTTGACCTGGAATTTACCACAATATGGCATTAAGCCGATCTATTTTGCATTCATTAAACTATAGGTGTTCCACTGATTTGACCTGTGACCTGCTTGTCTCTTTGGAGATGAGGGATGCACAGATATTGATTCTGGTATCGAATATCAGCGTTGATACTGGAAAATTAGCTGGATCAGTGTTAGGACCCAGCTCATTGGGTTCAGGGAAGTAACAAAAGAACCAAGATGGATAATGGAATAAATTAAATCATGTTTAATCAACAGGGATGTAAAAGGTAAATTAACAAAACAGACTAAAATATATACAGAATATAACCTAAATTAAGGAACAAAAATAGGATTAACATTAGGGATGGGCATTCGATGAAATTTCTTAATCGATCGTCTGAAGAAGTAACGATCGATTATCGATTAATCATTAATGTTTTTATATTTAAAATTATCATAATTATTATTACTATCTGCACTAATCTGCATAAATATTCAACTTTACGCATATAAACCGTAACACTCTAAAGCCACATCAATCATTTGACATTATAATGTGTTTAATGCAGATTTGTTCAACTCTCACAGAAACAAACTTAAAACCGCATCGCTAATTTGCATAAACTCAGCAAAGATAAAACTACAGCTTTGTGTCGCTGATGCGGTCAATTTCTGTCAGATTAAAAGACATGATTCAGGTGAATACAGGTTAATGTGACAATTTGCGTTTGTCAAAACAGGACACCGTACGGGGGAGGGAGGTGGGGACTCGTCACACATTGCGCGACTCTCACCTGGTAAAACTTTTTCCCACTGGACACCGAAACATATGTTCCTGCTTTGTTCACTGTGCAATGGACTCACACTTGTCCCGAACGCAACGGAAAGCATGGAATTTCTTGTACAAATCATCGTTAAACGCGCATTTGTGCTTCGGTACGTTGCAGACTGACCCACTGTTTGTGTCTCGCTCCTTCTGATGCAAACACATGTACAGACCCTGTTTGGTCACGCTACGCACAGCAACCTACATTCGGTTTGTCGATTAAAATTAACGTAATCAATGAAATTCTTAATCAATTATCGATTAATCGATTAATCATGCCCAAATTAACATACAAGTTTTGTGCCACAAACACAGGCTTACACAAAAACAAGTGGTTAAACTGAGGGACACACACAAAACTAAAACACAAGTGCCCCAAAGTAAAACCACATAAAACCACAAACAGAATCGCGTGACAAATTAAAAAAGGCACAAAACAGAAATTAACTAACCAAGCGTCTCAACAAAACAAAGTCAGACACGTACTAGTACAACACAAGTGACTGACACAAAAGAGGATCAAGGACAGTCAGCAAAGTAATTTAAAGCACACAAAACAAATCAGAACTGAAGGCCAGGTATTATTTAAGCAGATATCCTGGTTGTGCCTTTAATTGGATGTGATAAGAGGATTTACAGGCTGATTTTGACCTAGAAAGTCTCATAATGTTTGAACTTTTATGCATACAAAGCTGTTCTGTAGTGATATCAATACAAACGTTTATGGTCTTGTTCAGGTGTTTGATTTTCAGCAAAAAGGTGAGAGTGACTTACTGAAAAACTATGATGTTGAGACTTGTTTAACAGCACAAATCATCTCACCTGTTGTAGGATTTATGGTCAGATTGTGCTAAAATAAAGCTCAGATTCATGTCTAATAATAAACCCTCAGACAGAGCAGTGCTTACAGTTAGAATCACACCCCCAGGGAATGTTAACGCCATCATCTCTAAAGTATTAATCGCACACATGCAACAAAAATAGGTCAAATATAGAAAATTAGCTGGAAAAAAACCTACAAAAGTCCCAGTCCCAGCATGTATTACAGCTCACAGCGTGTACCACTGGCCTCTAATCAACCTCTCTCTCTCTCCATTACCTCCTGCTTTTAATTAAGGGACATTTTGGGGCCCGAGCGATAACGAGCCTCCTCTCTCCTCCTCCTTTTAGCGTCCCGGGGTTTTTGCTTTCTTCCTCTTCCTCCTCTTCTTCTTCGCTTAATAGGCTTGATATGTAAATACTCGGAGTCACTGTTTAAAGTGGAGCCTTGGTTGCATTTCAAAGTGGATGAACTAGAGTT